AATTACAGAAGGGAGGAACGAAAGAATAACACGCGGTTGGGCTCACCGAAAGAAATGTCGACACGGGGACCCAACTCGAATGTTCAAAAGTCGGATCAGACTTTTGTTGGTGGGATATTGAGTTTGTCTCGATTCTAACGTGGAAAAATCTGAGCGTTGCTATACTCAATTATTCATGATTTCGTGGTACTGTTTGATTAAGCGAGAATTTAAGACATAGCAGCAACGCCATATGGTGGAGCCGAAAAATGTTTTACAACATAAAAGAAATCAAATACCTTGTCAGCAAGGGAGATACCTGAAGGCGCCAAATCGACCCCAACAGCTGTTCGGTTGCCCGTCGACACGAATAAGAAGCAGTCGTATCCACCACCACAACCTGGACCTAGGACTCTGCTGTGTGGTATGAGGCTTGGTGTGTTGCAGAGCGATAGGAGGGATGGTGGTGAGATTCCTTTGTCCCACTATAAGAGGCAGAGTAGAGCGTTAGTGAGGTAGATAGCAGAATGTGGGAAGAGAGAGAGAGTAAACGTTGAATTCTAAATATGGGCACGTACAACAACCAGGTCTTTCTGCCATGCTTGTTCCCTGCATATCCAAGTTTGACAAGGATGATTGAAATGTTGAGCAAAATGGATTTCCACTGTGAGATTCACATACCGTCCTTTGCTCCATTTACAATAATTGCCATTGGGTTTGCATTTTTTTAATGTCAGTCATTTCTTGTTTATAGTAGTTTTGGCAACAGCATGAAAATGGTAGGCAGGAATAATGCGACATAGATTGTTCAACGATGCTGGAGAATTTTCAAGCACGGGAAACCACTGAGATCGGAGGGTGTGTATTGTTGGAAATGCTGCCTCAAAATGCATCAACAAGTTCAATATCAGGTAGCATCCTTTAAATGAGAGAGACTGAGTTGACGGTATGAGTGGTTGGAACTGCCTTCTTGTGGTTTGGAACGGGATGTTATGGGTATTTTTGTTGGCTTGTCCGCAACAACAGAAACCTCGAAATTCATCGATACGCAGATCAAGGGTTGAAAGTATTGGAGGAGCAAATTGAGTTTCTGTATTCTACAAGAGTTCGGGATGCTTGATGCTTTACTACAACGTTCTGATTACATAGAGGTGGACTACCATCACGATGATTTCACGTCTAAGCGAAAAAAATCAGGAATCAGTCAACAATCGTGATTCTTCCTATATATCTATCAGACGTGATTTTACTTAAGCATGAGTACCACATTGACATGTTCCAGCCGCACATTTACAAGAACCACCACATTTTGCGCATGCTTCTGCAACTTGAGTGGCGGCGACGCACCCGCAGCCCGTTCCAGCTTCACATTGGCACGTTCCAGGGGCACATTGACATTTATTGGCTGTTGAAGTTGCTACTGGAGTAGCTTCACAAGCGCATGTTGAGCATTTGCAGGGGGTTGAGCAGGTGCATGGCATTGTTGAGCTAGTAGTGGATGGAGATGTTAGTATTTTGATGTATGAATGAAGAAATGATGGAAACCTGCAATTCAAAGTTAAATGTGCTGACAACAATACCTTTTTGAAGTGTTTGGGTTTTGAAACGTGTGAGCTTTGTGAGGTTTAGAGTATTTTCTGTGTGAGACGGATGGATATAGTGAGTTTCTAGCGTTCTATATTACTCAATTTCACTTCACGCACCTGTTTTATGTCGAGTTCGTTGTCAGGAGTTCGCATGAGCTCGATCTCGAGACACCTCCTCAGCAAAATGCTCTCTTGCGCAAAACAGTCTCATGTTGTGGGGCAAATGTAGCTCATACGGTTGAAGAGAGAATAAGCAGGAAGGAATGTGAATTGGGGTTGGCTTTATAATTGAAGGTCCTTTACATCAGTTTGCTTGTATATGGTGGTTTATCTATTCGAAAATCCGCTTATGCGGCGTTGTCCAAGTGTCAAAGAAATAATTCACGGTTTCGTTTATATTGGAGTTGGACGCGTCTCTAGCGTATCGTACGAGTAAACTTCTCATCGCATCTTGTGGTTGCCTCTCACAAAGTGCGTTTCTCCATTAGATTTCATCTATTGACTTTCGCCAAACATCATCGCTCAAAGAAGCACAAATCAAGCACTCCGAAAGTTTCTACAAACCGATAGAAAACGAGTATATGATGATGCGAGGGACTCGGATTGTGTACATGCATCGTGATGATAGGTGTCGGCCGCTATTACGCTTGGTACGGCATGACGGGATTTCCAAAGACTCATCGATTCAACTTGACATCGGTGTTCTTGGTTATAGGATTGACTGCTTTTGCAGTCGCGAGTCTAGGATCTGGAGCTTTGGGACATATTACGGGAACTGTCGCAACTGCTTTAAGTTACATGGTGTTGGTCGCTGCTAGTTCGGTCTTTGCCGCCATGCAAGCGATAGCTATGAAAAGAAAACTATGAATGAAATCTATCATCGTCTCTTCGTCAAGTTTTTCAGGAAGATTCTTTGCGCACTTTGTAGTATCGAGCTATTTAAATAGGAAAGGGTGAATTTGGTTTAAAATGGTTGGTTTTGGCTGGTATGAGGGCCATCGGGATCAGAATATAATTGGCACAGCTCAAACGTGCATTGAGAAGACGATTTGTCACTACTTTTAGTCGAAGCCTTTCGTCCGGTCGTTAAAGTATTAACATTTTCATTTATGCGGCCATTGAATGAACGAAAGCCGTCACGGTTCCCTCGATAAGTGCAGGGACAGGTCTTTGGATATCAGAATCAATGATAAATTCCGTTTAAGTCGCGTTTCTTTTGCATTTGCTTCCGTCAGCTCCCTCTTAAAACCATCATGACACAGAAAAGCGCAACTCCAAAAATCTGAGTCAATATCACCGTACGCTTCTACAAGAGACACTCTCTCATCGTTTTCAAAGTATATTAAGCTCGCTTTCATCCTTCATCCCTCTCTAGTAGTCCTCTCCAGTATGTAATCCACTTCTACAATTTCAATACTTCCAAAAAGGACAGCACAAACGGGCTTCTTGGCATACGCCGTGACGATCGGTGTCGGTTCAATCGTTCTTGGGCATAGTATGGGTTACAAGCCACTAATTGTACTATCATCGCTTTCCTTGATGGTACTGAAATTCATCAACATTCGTTTTTAACTGAGTCGCGGATTTCACAGGATTGGCTCCTGCTCCAGCATACATAATGGAATTTGGAGCTTCTGGTCACATTGTTGGATCTACTGAGCAGCCGCTCAAAGCTTTATGGGGGTGGTCGCTGCTGGTTCGACGTTTGCGCTTATGCAATCGGAGTCCATGAAAGCCAAATGAATGTGTCGACAGTTTTGTGAGAAAATTATAGTGCAGCTTTGTAGGTGTTTAAAGGTTGTAATAAGGGGGCTTCTCTTTGGGAGTGACTTGAAACGTTGAACACGTTTTGTTCTTAGTTCATGCTTTGTTGAGTAGGAGGATCTACTTGCCTGATTCATCTTATCGAAGCAGTATAGAAGTGCATTCTAGATAGAGGCACTTGAATCAATCATCTGAATGGACTGTGAATGCCTTAGTCTGTTGGTTTGTCGAAGCTGATCTAACCTAATACATTTTGCTCAACACAAGCAAACGCCACTGAGACACAGAAGCCCACACAACAACAACTATGTAATGCATATATTTCCGTCTATTGAAACTATCATCTGCTCAACGTCACAACACACGCAACATCCTTCCTCCCAAAACCAGTTCATAAAGTTTCACCTGTGGATGATGAAGTTGAAAGGATGTCAAGAGAAATTACCTGTGAACGAAACCGTGAAGTACGAGGATTGAAATAGAGAGGTCGTGAACTGGGTTCCGTATACTGCTGGGCCGTTTCAGTTTACGGCGACAAGCCCACCTCGTGTGAGTGGTTTAGTTAAATCCATTTGACAAAAGGAATATTGCGATACTTCTGAAACACGTAAATTAAGCATCACATTGAGTCGCCAGATAAAGCTCATCAGAGAGAAGATGTTGTTAAAGTTCGGGGGTCAAGCTCGACGAATTTGACAGTTTGTTTGCTTGTTTGAGTGTACTGGAGACTTGGATATATGAGCAGGATACATAAGCGTACCGCATTAGCAAGATTTGCCTGGTTCACAAAACTCTCTAATGACACTAGCCTGCATCTAACAAATGTTTGGATCTTAGATCGTACGTGCACCAATATACAACTAGAACACAGCTCTAGCGAGAGTCATTTCATGTTTCTCTTGTTCTGTAACAATTGAAACCGTGCATCCCGCATACTGTTCCGGTGATAATGTAAACAGAAGCAAGTCCATGGTAAGTGTATACACGCTGGACAGGAAATTCCGTGGTTAAAACGCCAATGCTGCAGCATGATCGGGGTATGACAAAGTTGAAAAGAGATCGAAGTATCTCTTTGTGCTTGAATCAGTATATCGGATATGGTGGAATTGTGACAGGGGTGGTTCAGTGATGAAAGCGTCGATACCAGGAATGAGATACCTGGTAAGAGTGGAGAGTTGCAATGAATATAGTTGATGTGGTCCTTAGGAGCGATCGGTTGTGATTCTACTTCGTTTTGAGGCCGTTAGACCTAGGATTTCTTCCAATGTTTCATGCTGACACATGTTTCCAGTGCAATGGTCCAGTATCTCAAACTAGGTTCATCAAATATTGAATATTTACGTGTAAATCAAGGTATTCACCGACCTCCAAACTCAACAGCTCTCATAGCTTGAATCCTCAACTTTCACCTACCCACCAATTAATCTTACGAATGGATGAAGCAAAGTTATACCAAAACGTGCTATACGCCGTGGTAGGCAGTGGAGCATGTGTCCTGCCCATCCTACTATTCATACCTGCTCCATTTGGCAAGTTATCTCAGTACATTTCAACATCACAGAGACATCTACCTTACTACATTCATTAGGTCGGTTTGGGACAAAAGGATGGGGCCCAGCGATAAATGGCAAAGTAGGATGGGCCTTGTTTGAAACTATTCCCATATACACCATGCCAATTGCAATGTTTGTGAAATCTGATATGGGGGTTTTGAAGTTGGATGTGACGAGTATGGCATTGCTGGCTATGTGGGAGATTCATTATATTCACAGGTAATGGACTGAATAAGAGTCGCCGCAACTCTGGGTTTGATTTCCACATTAAAGTGAAAGTAACAGGCCCACACATAACACACAGGGGCATCATATACACTTACAACGCACCCCGGATCGCACCACACTCTCTCTTCGTCGTCATATCAGCTCTCGTATTCAACCTCGCAAACGGATACCTGAACGGGCGCGGTATAGGCCCCCTCTCCTCTTACGACGCCAACTACCTCACATCCCCACGCTTCCTGATCGGCGCATCCATCTTCTTTATCGGAATGGCTATAAACATATTGTCAGACTATTCCGTGTTTGCACAACGCAGGCTCGCGGATGCTAAAAAGCACAAGGACGGAGTAAAAGATATATCGTCACTACCACCCCAGGAGAAATACGTGATACCGAGAGATGGACTGTTTGAGTTGGTATCGTGTCCGGCGTATTTTGGAGAGATTGTGGAGTGGATTGGGTGGGCTGTTGCTGCTAATTGTAATGCCGGATGGGCGTTCGCATTCTTCACGTTTGCGAACTTGGCCCCGAGGGGTGTGGCTGCTCATAAATGGTACAAGGACACATTTAAGAAGGCATATCCGAAGGGGAGGAAGGCTGTACTACCGTTCTTGTGGTAGTTTGTGATTGAATATAGTATTTAATTGGCATATGTTGGGCATGTTTGGACAGTTTGATAGTCAGTACGCATAATAATAATGTGTGATGTCCGTGGTTTTCATTCTAATGACTAATGACGTGTAAAACTTTATATCTAACTCGTTTATTTGTTCGTGAATTTCTTGTTGCGTCTCGCTCTCTCCAGCTGTCAAAACCGATGACAAAACGTCGAAAGCATTCAAAACACCACCACCATGCCGACCATGGACGTATCGAACCTCAAGATTATGCACGCCTCAACACGCACCCACATGGAACAAGCCGCTGCCCTCTTTGCCGAATACATGGACTACCTCCACACCAACTTCAATTTATCTCTCACTAACTGGTCGCTGCCCACCGAACTATCCACATTACCATCGCCATACACACATCCAGGCTGCATCCTCCTCTGCTACATGGATAAAGTCGAAGATCCCATCGGCGTCGTATGTCTCAAACCATCAAATCACGATTTCATGGTATCCGGCGCGATGGAAATCAAAAGGATGTATGTTAGGCATACATATCATGGATCTGGTATTGGGACGATGCTGTTGAAGAATGTGCTGGAGCATGCGAGGAGTGTTGGTGCGAGGATTGTCCTATTGAGTACGATGAGGAATATGACAGGTGCGAGGAAGGTGTATGAGAGGTGTGGGTTCGTGGAGAGGGGAGTGTATTTGAGGAGCGGGCATGTTGAAGGAGCTGTTTGTTATGAAGTTGCGTTGTGATTTGGACGGTTGGATTTTGGGTGATTGAGTAAGCTGTTGTGTTTTGTATGGAAGGGTATGCGTCGAGGTGATTGTGGATGTTGATTGAGAGTTTTTGTGTGATTTTTAATGCAAGATTCGGAACGTTATTGGGAAGACTCTTTGTTTGGGTGAGATTCGAGACATGTCCTTATAAGACACCAACGACGTTTTTTTTTTCGCTAATCCTCAACATGTAGATCAGTGGAGAATACTCACAAGCTTCGAGCCTACTACATCATGATTAGATTCAGGCACGAGTCAGCATTTGTCGAGATAGCGTTGGTACGCAGTTGCCGCCAAAGAAAATTCAGAAATATGCAGTGGTCCAGGACGAGTACATCGTCGGTACTCACAGTGCTGCTGCTTCTAGACTGCAAACCACTACAAATCACGCAGGACATTAAACCGTGCGTGGGACGGCCCCAAGAAGCTCATTACAGATTGTGAATGCTGTTTCAAGAATGACCACGTGTTGACGTTTGGATGGTCAACAGGTAGACTCTCTGAGCCACGGTTTTTTCGCCTCTATGGTTCTGACATCTTGAATTCATGTAGAAACTACTTGCGCTCGCCGAATCGACATGTAATTCAAAGACGGTGGACGAGGTATGGTGGGGTGAACAGTTGGTATGTGTTTGATACTCTTCGCAACAAAAGCAGATATCTGAGCCTTAATAATGAACGGTAGCTGGTATCGACTGCTCTATCTCCCCGAACCACCATTGTTTATTGATGGCACATCACTATCTAATGCAGCTTCCACCAGAGGACAAAATCTCACACCGCAATTCGTGTAGGTGCTACAAGCTTTGAAAGTCATGCATGCTCAAAGAATCTTACATCGTGACATTAAAGGAAGCAAGCATTCTTTTGGAATTGGATGGCCGTGTACTTGTTAGTAAGTGAATCACTTAGCGCTGGTTTTGTCTCTTCGCCCTGTCTTCTGCTCTGTCTCTCCATTCTCATCGCATTACCATGGGTTAGCGGACTTTGGGCTGTCATTGAAGCTGACAGATGAAGCACCTACAGGCTACGGACAAATTGGAACATTGGGCTGGATGGCCCCAGAGGTTGTCAATGGTGGTCATTATGGGCCTAAATCTAATATATGGTCGTTGGGTGTTATGATTATTGAGATGATTGAAGGGACACCACCAACTGGAAGACCTGAATTGAGAATCCTGGACGTCGCTCTATGGCATTGAGACTGGTTCTGAAAGAGGCATTGCAAGTAGACTCGGAAAAGAGCCCTGATGCCACCAAACTCCTCAAAGTACGTGCAAGGAAGCTGTTGGTACAAATGATCGTTCGACTCTGGTATCTTATCTAACTGCCGTCTTCAACTTTAGCACCACTTCGTGGAACGAGCGGCGCCTGCTACTGATCTCATTCCAGCCATTTGAAACGCAAAGGAGGCTTCTGAAGCCAAGAGGTAAGTATGAATCGGTGTATGAAATTTTGTTACACTTGGATTTTTTGGGTCCAACACTAAAACAATGCCTTTTCAAACTAGGATTGTATTAACTTGGACTTTACTTGAATGTGCCATGTGTGAACTCCCACAAGATCTTCCAGTAACTATATGTACTCTTGATCATGGAACGACGAAGGCGCAAACTCCACTATACTAATACAATCATTCCGGTTGCTTAGATAATGAAAAGACCGTAACCCCTAGAACTGCTACTAGTGCTTATCACATATTATGAAAGCTGTTCCTCGTATGAAAACGTCGCGATATCTTGAAGTTCACCAGTCACGGATCCAGTTGGTTTACTTTTTGTCTTCCGTCGTTCTGGCATAGCTTGGTGGTCTTAATTGGTGAACTCACCAGATCGTAATCGCATTCTAAACACGCTTGATTCACTGCCGGACGGTGCTGTTATCATACTGGTCTCAGAAACCAGAAGGCCTCGAACATGTATCATGTAACTGTATCTCAAGACATATATATTTGCTGAACGAACAGTTCATCATGCACCTCTAGCTGTCTTGGACGGTAACAAGCTTTGAACCATAAGATCACTATTGAAGCAAAGGACGTTTCATGGCCAATTAGATCATTCACGTTAAGTTGTGATATCCAGACACATACCGGTATTGACTTGCATACGGAGGTAAATGAGGCAGCGGCTTACTGCTTAGCATCTCGGGCTCATCAAGAGTCTTGACTTGTCGTGACGACGTAGAAGACCTTGCTTGCTTGATCTTGATACGCTGCTCATTCATGTTCGTAACACAGACACGTTCAGCAAATCCGATTGGTTTTGTGTTGAATGATTCTATACGAAAAAACAGCTGTTGGTTCAGTTCGAATGATTCCAAATGCTAGACACTCTCTCACCTATACGATCCCACGAAGAAATACAATGTCTCCTTAACGGCACCTTCTTCGCAATCGGATTATTCAGAATATTGAACACCTTCATTTTCGACAAGCATGCCAGCAGTATCTCAAAGTCACTGAGATGTTCGATTGCATTTTCAGACAGGTCTAATTCTTCGAGCATGTGTAGAGGAGCGTATACACCAGAGACTGAGATGTAGTTACCACGCAATACGAGTTTTCGAAGTGTGTTTGACAGTGTTTCTAATGATTCAGCGTCGAATTGCAAGGGTGTTGAGTGGGATGAGGACTTTTGGCGAGCGAGGTTTAGCTCCTCGAGCGATGGGAGGTTTTGAATTGTAAATTTTCGGATCTTGTTTTGTGATAGGTGCCTATTGTTTGCAAGTGAAGTTAGTTCGTGACAAATGACTCTCTGCGTCTTGCCTTTGTTTTGCAACCAACAACAAGATCAACATTGAATTAATCGACTCACAAAACTCTCAGCTTCTCCAACCCGTCAATCTCACACAGCATGTCATCCGTGATTCCATTATTACTCGCATACAAGATCTCCAGTTCTACCAACTGCTTCAACGGTGCGAGTGATGTGATTCGTGATTCCTTGTCATTCAGAATCAACTCTTTTATCGATAGGAGACGCGTCGAGTCCAGAGAGATTCCTTTGAATAAGAGCGTGGGAATGTCTAGGTTGCTGTCGCTTTCGATGGATTTGATTACTGGTGCCATATGTGATGTTTGCGTAGTTCTTTGCGATTTTGGGAAATTTTGTGGGAGTGGTGCGAAGTCGTTGAGAATTGGGAAGATTAGAGGATGTCGCGTTATAAAATTAAATGAATTGGGTTTAAATATTAAGGGATTTTAATGATATCACGGAACACTGACAATCAGGTCAGAGGTCTTTTTCGCTACATTTTTGGAGCCAGTCTACAACAGATTTGAACTAGCCTTCAGCACACCCTTTGAAGTATCGACGAAAACATCTGGGTTGTGTCTTCTTTTGTACTTCGCTTATTCCTAGATCTTCTGCTTGGAGGTTCAGTAAGAGATCGAACCACAGCACCATACAATTCACGGACACGTCCACCATCTTTTGATCGTAACTGTATAGATCATACTGATTTGAGCCCTTAGAGTCGACATTATCACAATCACGCCGAAGAACATGACATCCAGACATTCAAACCCAGGCTTTCCAAGGAGTGAGTCCTGCCATGATCTTTTGGAAAGATTCATACTCTAGACAGCCGGTATCCGATTAGATTTCATCAGGAGCCTTGTTTGAGCGTGACAGGATGCAGCAGCAGTGATGAAGAAATGAAGAGAGGACAAGGGAGCGATGCGCATCAAGCGTGTTTCTTCAAGACCTCCACAAGAGTTCAAAGTTCAATCATGAAACATCTTGAAAATCCTTGTATTTGGGCTTGAATTATCACTTTATGATCAATTTGTATTCTAATAAACCAAGCGTTGATGTTTAGTTAGCACCCGTTGATTTTCACACCTTCAATTTTTGCGGTTGAGCGATAGATCTCAGACGTCTGCTGAATTCAATCAAATACGAAATCAAATATCTTCCAGTTCCCAGCACTCTCCATCACCCTCAACACCCCTTTCCTCCTCCTCTTAATCCCTAAGCTTTAAAACAACATTGGGATGGTGCAGTCAGCAAACGCCAATGCAAATGAGACTGAGAGCGTAGATCTAGCCTATGATACGGAACTGGAATGGTTGCATTGTAACAAGTAAGTCATCCTATCATTATCTCCCCTCTTCGTTAACAGCTAAAGTGTATTGCTCAAATCGTCTACATTCAACCTAATCACATGTGCTTGACAGATGCTGCTCGTTCGACCATCCAAATACTAGTTTCTACTTGTCGCAATGCGGTCATATATTTTGTCAGGGCTGTCTAGATGCTACTGCTGAATCAACTCGATCGGAATCAACTGTGATTAGAGAACGGAGTGCTGGTGGAGGAGAGTCGACATGTCCTGTTTGTGGCATGCGTTGTGCTGCTATTGCTATTGGTGCAGAGGTATGAGTCCTAATTCTTGCTGTTGAGCTAACGGAGACTCCTGGTTCGCTGAACGACACTCTACGATAGAACACATCAGACGAAGTGCAACGGCTGTTTGTACCTACCGCCAGGAATATAGATGAGATTGCAAAGATTCATAAGGTACATCCATGAAGTTTATTGATTCGGGCCGCCAAAAGGAAGTCTGAACGAACGTTGTCGATGGTAGTTACAGTATGGGAACGCAGTCAAGTTAATCAAGAGTCTGAAAGCCAAAGTCAGCAAACAGACTGCCCTCCTAGAACAAGTCAAACCTACTCTGGATCAGACTCGAAAGTAAGCGAGGGTATGTGTGTTTGACACATTGTAGCAACGGATTGACCTCGTTTTTTTTTGCTAGGAAGCTGCAGAGCAAAGAAGCTGAGAATAAGGATTTACAGGATACAGTAACTCGATTACGTGATGAGCTAGCACGATTGAAAAATAGTGGTAGTGGAAGAAAGCATTCAAGTCCTGAACAACAGCAGCAACTTAGACAGCCTCAAAGGTATAATGCGATGGTGCGCTTCGTTTTTTCGCTATCGATTCCATTTTCGCATTTCCCCCATATAGGCAGCAATCTACATCACCAAAATCAGGTGGTACGAGAACACCCAATCCACCAGCTAGACTATCTCTTCGACCACCATCACGAACGGATCAAATACCACCACTTATTACTCAACAACAATCCCGTAATCATGCGCTACCACCACAACATCAAATGCCGCAGCAGCGGCATCGCGTACCTGATGTGATGCCTCAACAACAGCAGCAATTCTATCATCAACATCCGCAGCAGCAGCAGATGAATGATATGAACATGCTGCCTCCGCAACAACCACGTATGACAAGACCACCACCGCAGCAGCAGCAACAAGTTGCGTATCAGCAGCCGCAGCCACAGGTTGCGTATCAGCAACCGCAGCAGCAAATGTATCAAGAGTCGCCCTATTTCGATCAGTTTGACGAGCAGATGCTGCAACAAGATGTATATCACGATGATCAGATACCTCCTGGTGGTGGTGTGCTGCATAGATCGACTTTTACTACTAATGGTGGTATGGATAATGTTGGGATGCGGCCGTCGTCTATGAGACTGGTAAGAGCGCTTAAGGCATTCTCATTTGAGCAGAACCGCTACACTTTCTGTTCGCGTAGCCATGGAATTCAACAACGACAAATCGTGCATCATCATCCGGTCAAAGATCACGTAACGAGATGTCTCTTGTTGGACCAAGGAGACCTGACTCGAGACTTGCTGTGCAATCTCATCAGCCGTATAATGTTGGATTTGGTAGGCAGCAGCTGCTGCCTATGCCACAACAGCAACAAATACAAAGGCCCTCTACATTGCCAATGAATGCAAGACCCCCTACTACCACACGATTTAATCGTGTGCCTATACAAAGAGATCGTAGTATGTTTCAACAGCAGATGTGATTAATGCTTTTTCTAATGGACTGGGTCGTTTTAATGGTTGGGGTAATTTATATATTTGTGTCTTGCTACATCTTTGTTATGGCATACATGATTTCTATCTGCGAGTTCCTTATTGGTTTTATGATATTGCGTTGCAAGGCGAGACAGTTTCTACTAGAGTGCATGCTTTTTCTACTTCGACACTCCTTATGATAAGGGGTGAGGTTGCAAGGCAAGACTTAACTGCATTTCATGCTTATTGGACGTTGCAGAAGTTGACGGAAGGCGGCAAAGGTCGAGCACTTTAAGGAGGAAGTTGATTACAGAATCAATACCACCTAAGGAGAGAAGATTTGGATTGTCGTGTCTAGATCTCTAAAAAGTATCAAGGCGCCCTCAAAACGCGTATATCTTGTTATGTGGTGTTGTGGTTTCGAAGAAGACTATATTTTGTTAGAGTGTCTGCATCGATTAGTGAACATAGCAAAACCGCTTCAGCAATGCTCGAAAAGCAGTTGAATAATGGAACTGAATGAAGTCTTTATGTCTCAGCTTGCTGGTTTGTCGAGATTGAGTCAACTTGTGGGTTCGTATGCGAACCCACACGTGAAGATCTCCATTCATTTTGACAATACCCAACCTCCAGAAAGTCAACTGCAGTAAACTTTTCCTGAAAATGGTGTCGATGACAGCCATTTCGGTGTATCCTTTTAAGCAAAACAAGGAAGAAATCACCAAAATCTCGCATTGGCCGCAAAATAGGAAACAACTATGATGCACTCACCACAAACATAGATCAGTAGGAAGAGTTGCTTGATTGACCATTCCAATTCCATTCTACTATTTTACAACTATAAGGATCGAAAGGGGCTTCTGATACAAGAACTCTTTACATTCCAGACACTCATAGCAGCGTACTACTACAGGGGATTTAGATACTTTGACATCTTCAGCACCCATCTTCTCAACCAACTTGAGTTGGCTGCCCTACGTACGTAATAGTAGTAAGCTCTCAATGAGGTTCGCTGGTATGGTCAACGACTTCTAAATTTCTAAATTATGAAAACGAAGAGTTGAAGAAAACAAATTGCCAGGACATCTTATGTGATTTGAGAAAAAATGAACATATTACGCGTCAGCTTATTCATCATTGGGAGATCTACTGTGATTCCTCAAGGTTAAAGACTGTTCATCGCGAAAAGCGCCGCAACGCATACATCTACCCCATTACAATGCCGTCCTCATATACAACAATAAGAGATTTCGCTTCTATTTGTGCAAGCCTAATACTTGTGGTAAGCATTTCTAAAAAACTAAACATTCTTGACGTCAATGAGAAAGAAAACGGCTTCAAAATCACAATATATACAGTTTAGGAGTGCAGAGACACGACTCTCGTCCACTCTCAGTGTCTTGGCACACGTTTAGGTGACGGATGAGGATTGTAAAACTCGTTGATGATGAATGAGGCAATGTCGAGATCGGAATAGTACCTAAATGAAAGCGGTTAGCTTTGCCTGGCTTCATTGAAAGACTAACTTTTGCCAAAAGACTAGTAGACATCAAAACCACTGTATTGCAACCAGACATTGAAAACGACACGTTGAGCACTTACCCAAAATGGGCACTGAGAGCAGAAAGGTATGGAGTTTCCTACGAAAGCGACAAAAACCACCAGTCGAAGTCAGCAAATGTACAAAGACATTGAAGTTACATTCAAAAACCATGACTCACCATTATCCCCTCCTGCAAGCAGAAATCAACCCTCCCTCTCGGATTCAATTTATAAAACTCGGCCCCTCGAACATGGAAATCAGGACTCTGTGATTCCGTTCGTTGATGTTTAATATCTCCTGCCTCACTGCCATTACTACTACCACTCTCAGGATGTTGTTGTAACGGAGGCACAGATGATCCAGAGACATTGTCAAGTTCCACATCTTTGGGTGGTATAGTTGTTGTAGCTGGGTTTCGGAACATGGCATAGCTAGCTAGTGTTCCTAGTAGTGAGCGGCCACGTTCAGCGATTTCCGTGCCGTAGTCTTGCATTCCCATTATGGAACCCTGTGAGAGTGCGTCAAACTTAGATTGAGGGCCAAAAAGGAATCGATACGTCAAGTGAATGTACCGTTATGCCTCCTTTTCGATACGGAATAACTGCTGGTTTATCTTTCGCGAGCTTCCTATCCACTAATGGTTCCATTCGATATGCAACGGGATCTAAAGGAATGAAAGTCAGCTTAACTTT